GTTGTACAACAACATGAATGTGCTGCACTGAACCCTACGCTTCACTGTATGCGTATGTTCACCACAGTGGAAAAGGTAAGAGGAAGAAAGGCAGGTGTGGGGGTGGGATGTGCTGGGGCCTGTGGAATTGGGGCTCCTCCTCCCGGGGTTCGGGTGCGGCTCCCTTGTGGGAGGAGGAGTTCGGGGTCAGTCCCAAGCCTGAGCTGGCTGCAAAGGCCCGAGGCTACCTGAGTGATGGAAGCTCCTGGAAACCCCGAAGCCAACCCCTGCACCGGCCTGTCCGCGGCCTGAAAAGACAGCCGCCCCGCGGGACCTGCCTAGAGTCCCGATGAGGAAAGATGCCTGGGAGCTCGTGGTGCCAGACGGTATCCCCCATGGCACCAGCCAGCAGCCACCATGGGGCCACAGCTCTGTGCAGCGACCGAGATTTGTTCTCATTTGCTACCTCAGCAGTGGGAACGGCCCCCGTGGAAACAAGGCCCGACTTACCCTACTCAGCTGTGCTGCCCGCCTGCTCTTCCTCTGTCTGTCTGCTCCCGGCTCCCTCCACCCCGGGATCCTGGCATGTTCTCACCAGCAAATCCCCACCCTCCGCTGAGCACAGTCTTGGACATCCAACTGCCCTGCATTCAAATACGGGCTCTCTCGACCTCGCTGGGCCTCAGTTTCCTCCTCTGTAAAATGGGAACAATAGGAGTATCTGTCTCCGAGGTGGGTGAGGATCCCTAGAGCTTGTAGCAGGTGCTCGTCTGAACAAATGGCGGCCGGGATGTTTGTTACGCGGCAAAGTGCTGTGTCTCTCGCTGGCCTGGCTCAGTGGCATGGAGGGCCCTGTTGTCAGCACTCAAAGCTGTGAGGAGGCAGGGCCATGAGGCAGCCAGGGAGGAGCTGCCTGGAGTCCTTGGTGGGCCCCCTCCTAGCAGCAGCGTCCCTCCCCATGGCCCGCAGTGCCCTGCACCGGGGGGTGGGTGGTGGTGGTGGTGGGGGGAACAGCTTACTGGAGAGGCAGGAACAGGCAGGGACAGAGATTGCAGGTTTTGGGGGACCCTGAAAAGCCACGCCTGAGGGGGGGCGTGTCTTCACCGGCACGATGCCAGCCCTCACCGTTGTGGGGGGAAGCGGCTCTTACCTGCTGGGCCTGTGGGTGCTGTTGGTTCCGGTGCTGGGGAACAGCTGGGGCAGCACATCTGTCCCGTGGAGAGACGCAGCGGCAGCAGGACTCCGTCAGAGGCTTCCCTCTGGCATCTAGGACCCAGGCTTCCCTCTGGCTGCCAGCAGGCACCTGGGACCCAGGATTCCCTCATAGCCCTGGCTTCGTCCAGAAGGACATCCGGTCTGATTCACATATTTTGCTTTTATTATTATAGATTACAGGCCCGGTGCATGAAAATTCATGCACTGAGGGGCAAGGGGTCCCTCAGCCCAGACTGCCCCTCTCATAGTCCCGGAGCCCTCAGGGGATGTCCTACTGATGGCTTACCAGCCGTGGGCAAACTACGGCCCGTTTGAAATGAATAAAACTAAAAAAAAAAAAAAAAAGACCGTACCCTTTTATGTAATGATGTTTACTTTGAATTTATATTAGTTCACACAAACACTCCATCCATGCTTTTGTTCCGGCCCTCCGGTCCAGTTTAAGAACCCATTGTGGCCCTCGAGTTAAAACAGTTTGCCCACCCCTGGCTTAGACCCTCTAAGCCACAGTCTGGCCTCCCTCTGTGGGAGGTGACTGGGCCGATCAGGGGAAGGTGCCGCTCCCATCACCCCGCTGCTGCTGGCACTGCCAGCCATGCTGCCCTCCTCGGCCCTCGCAGCCGCTGCAGGTTTGTCGAGAAGACGTCTGGTCTATCCGGTCTAATCAGCATATTACCCTTTTATTAGTATAGAAGATACCATGACATATGGTAACATATCATGATGTCACATACAATCTCCCCAGCAGAGCCACTGCTACTGGCCTGGGGACTCCCTGGGCCCCCTCCTGTGTCGGATCTCCAGCACCCAAGTCCCTGTGTTCTCTTTCCTGGGTTTCTCCCTCGTTTGGTTGGGGCATGCCCTCTAGTAGCCGCCTGAGAAAGGAGGCACGGGCGGCCAATTAAAAGCATAAACACCCAGGTCTGGAAACACCTTCCTTCTCCAGTCAAGGAGATGGGGCTGGCTGTCAATCTAGATTAGCAGTCATCCCCTGTCAGACCCTAGAGGACGCTGCCCCACTGGGTTCTGGCTTCGAGGTCTGCTGTGAGAATTTCAGTGCATTTTAATCTCCGATCCTTGGTATGTGACCTGTTTTTTTTCTTTTTGGAAGGGTTTTGGACTTCTTTCCCTTTTAGGATTTTTATCCTGGTGTCCTGAAATTTTATGATAAGAAGGCTTGCGCCGAAACCGGTTTGGCTCAGTGGATAGAGCGTCGGTCTGCGGACTGAAGGGTCCCAGGTTCGATTCCGGTTAAGGGCATGTGCCTGGGTTGCAGGCACATCCCCCGTGGGAGTGTGCAGGAGGCGGCTGGTCGATGTTTCTCTCTCATCGATGTTTCTAACTCTCTATCTCTCTCCCTTCCTCTCTCTATAAAAAATCAATAAAATATATTTTTAAAAAAATAAGAAGGCTTGCTTTAATTCCTTAAGCTTTTTATTTTGCAATATTTCAGTCATATAAAGATAATACAAATATAATAAATACAGGAGTAAGCAAGAGTAGGGTTACAGCTGTGAGTACACATAACAATTTATTCTTTCTTTTTTTTTAATTGATTATTGAGAGAGAGGGAGGGAGAAACACTGATCTGTTGTCCCATTTATTTATGCATTCGTTGGTTGATTCCTGCATGTGCCCTGACCTGGGATCGAACCCGCAACCTTGGGGTACCAGGACGATGCCCCAACCAACTGAGCTACCTGGCCAGGGCCAAACAGAGTTGATTCTTGTATTACCTATTAATTATTGTGTTATCTTCCATTCAAACAACTGTAAACCTACCTTGTTGCCCACCCCTGTAAAACATATAAAATATAATACATACATTACAAACCCCCTGTTCACCACCAAGGTTACTAGAACATTATATTAAAGTGGAAACCCCTCCTTAATTGCAGGTCTTCTTCCCAATGTGTATCTAGAAATCTGTTGTTTATCCTTCGTAGGCATGTCTTTCTTCTCTCACTGCATAAGATATATGTTAATATGCAACATTGTGTGTGTTTAAAAGTCTCTAACTAGACGGCGTCATGATGGTTTGTTTTTCTGCCGTCTGTTTCCTTGCTCAGCCTGTGAGTCATCTGTGCGGAGTGTGGCCCCTCATGTTCGTCACTGCACGATAGCCTATGGCCTGACTGTATCACAGTTACAGCTCTGTCCTTCTGTCCATGGTATTTAGGTCGTTTCCAGTGTTTAGCCAATGAAAAGGTACTCTCCCAACGTCCCACGCGTGTGTGGGGACCTTCCATAGGGAAAAGGTTCTAGGTTCCGCCAGCACATCGGGTCATCTGGGGACCTTTAAAAATCCGATGTCAGGGCTGTGCCCAAAGCGATGAAACCAGAACCTCGGGGGTGAGTCCGGCAGGAGCGCTTGTGTCGCCCCAGGTGACTCCAATGAGCAGCCGGCGCTGACAACCGCTGCCCGGGTCCGGCGCTCCTCCAAGTGTGGTCCTCCGGCCACAGCACGGCATCACCGGGAGCCTGTAGACTGGCCCTCTCGGCCCCGGCCCGACCTCCGGAGGGAGCGAGAATCTGTTTCGGGAAGACCCCGGGCGAGGGCTGCGGCTGCCGACCCCGCACATCATCGTCCACAGGGGTTGCCGCGGTGCTCGCCATGGCGGCGCCGTCCACGTGGCTGTGGCTTCACGTCGCTGTGCCGGGCACCTGGTGGGCTCTTTCTCTAGGGAGCTTGTCCCCTCAGTCCCAGGAAATACTCCTGTATCATTTCTTCAACAATTTCCTCTCCTGTGTTTTGTGTCTTGGTTTGAAATTTCTATTAGTTGGACCTTCTGCACGGCTCTTATCTTTTGATTGTCCAATTTTCTTGACTTTTTCTTCTACTTTCACATCTTCGCTTTTATATTCTGGGGGATTTTCTCTCACCTTCCATTCCTCCTACTGCAATTTTAAGTTCTGCTATTGCATTTTACTTTGGAAGAGCTTCAGCACTTGCATTTAAAAAGAACACCCTTGCCCTGACCGGTTTGGCTCAATGGATGGAGCGTCGGCCTGCGGACTGAAGGGGGTTTCTCTCTCATCGATGTTTCTAACTCTCTGTCCCTCTCCCTTCCTATCTGTAAAAAATCAATAAAATATATATATTTTAAAAAAAAACATCCTTTTCCTGGTTCGCGGTGAACCTGCAGAGGGCTGTGCCGGACCCTTCCTTTGTGCACTGGAGTCTGTATTTTGGTTGTCAGTTCTGGTCAACGGTTGGTGCCCTGGCGGCTCCTGGGGTGAATGCAGCACAGCAACGCTAACTGGGAGCTCTGCTTTCGGGGGCAGGCCCAGGGCACTAGGGACCCCCGTCGTGGTGACTGGGGACTCGCCAACGTCAGGCTCTGCCCGTCTTTTCTCTTTGGTCAGTTTCCCAGAGAGACCTTTAGCCACGTCCTGCCTTGGCAGAGGGTGGAGGGTGTGAGCAGGGGAAGGGCTGAGGGTCTCCCCGTTCATCACAGCCTTTGGCTTGGGGTCCACCGTGGCCGGCAGTGACCTGTCTTCTCCGAGGGCCAGGGGATGGCGGGGCAGGCACAGGCCATGTGGCTGGGAGAAGGCACTCAGGGATCTAACCGTGTCTTCCATGCAGTGCTGTTTTCACACCCACCCGAGCTTCCACCTGCGGGATTCCTGGTCCCTCCAAGCTCAAAGCATTCGGGGGGGCGGGGGCGGGGGGCTCTGCAGAGCAAACGGGCTTGGTCTCGGCTGGCTTTCTTGTGTGGACATCTTGGGGAGCAGTGAAAGCTGGCGGATACAAGCGACACGCATCTCAGAAGCACACGCGATTGTGGTCGTGATCAACACACAGGCTCAATGCAAACCCTAACCTTTATTTGTATTCTGAAGCATAGCTAGTCACAGGGACACAGTGAGTTCTTTTACCATCTGCCAGTAGCCGTGGCAAAGAAGCTAATGGTGGGGGCCTGAGGGCCTGGGGAGCGGGCCCTTCGAGGGCGGAGGCCGTGGCGGGGGCGGGGAGAGGAAGGATGGGAGGGTACAGACAACACCCACGCACACAAACACACGTTCTCTCTCTCTTCGGGGAAGGGTTTTCCAGAAGCATTTGCCCGTGCTTTGAATTAAGTATTTTTCACACCAAACCGAACCGACTGAAGAGACGTGAATTAATGGCTTCGGGGAGCTGAGGCCCAGCTGCAGAGGCTGAAGGCAGCTCTTCAGTGAGCGACATCTCAGTCTCCCCCAGAGCCCTTCTCAGCTCCAGGGGGGTGCGGGGAGAGGCTGGGAACACCAGGGGGGCCGAGGAGGGGTTCCAGGAATCCACAGAGCCAGGTCCCAGCTCCCACCTCCCGGGCCCCAGCAGAGGGAAAGGGTGGGGACTCTCTCATCCCTCCTGCTCTGGACTCCAGGGCTGGTCTCGGGGCCAAGCTCAGCTTTGGAGGGTAACGCTCAGGGCTGGGCTTCTCCCATGAATACAACGTGGAGGAGCCAGCCTGGTGCCCCTGAAACTGCAGTGCACGTGGGGGCCCCACCAGGGGGTGACGGCCCATCCAGCCCAACCCAAGGGGAGAGCCAACTTGAAATAAACACGGGGGGGGGTGTAGGAGTGGGGGGGCCGAGGGAGGACAATAAATAAAGGTCACAGCTGAGTGACATGGCTGGGGGCGGGGGAGGGGTGTGTGTGAGGGCTCCCGGAAGAAAGGGGCAGAAAGGCACTGAGTGGGAGAAGCAGACTCAGCCCCCAAACACTGGTCTGATGAGTCAGAGGTCACGCTGGACAGGGGATGTGCGGCCTCCGGGGCTGGTCAGGAAGGAGCCGGCAGGTCTGGCTCCAGCATGTGGGTGCGCGCTCTCTCTCACTCTTCCCACTGGAAAGCCTGCCCCGTGCGCCCCGCAGGCCTCTGCCCAGGGCAGGCGGAGGGCTCCTCGGCCACATCAGCAGCGGGGACTCGCCCGGGTGTGCCTTTTGCCTTTGGGGGAGAGAAAAAAGGCCACTATATGCTGAGCAGAGGCAGGGCACCTCCCTGGGACAGCCTGACCCTTGGGGAAGAAATGGAGGGGACGCAGGTGCTGGAGTAGCCCCGGGCCCCCCCTTGTGTGAACTAGCCCACTTGGGGGCTGGCGCCCTGGGCAGAGCTCGGCTCCGCTCTGCTGCGTCCTCGCAGGCCAGCCATCTACTTCCCGCACGCTTCAGTGTGTCCATCGCAACCCAGGTGACCGACACAGCGACCTTCGATGCCAGAGGAGCAAGCAGACACGGGAACACAAACCTTCCTCCAGGCCGACCCTTTCCAAGTGCCTCAGGCCCTGGAACACCCTATGCACTGGCCGCACAGCCTCCCCACTATCACTGGGCATTTCCTGAGAGCTGCTCAGGCGCACACTCCACGCGGACCCTGCCTTTCACCCTCCCCCAACCCTATGAGGGACCTGACGCGGTCCCCACTCTAGGGACATGGCACTGGGCACAGAGATCCGACATTAGGTTGAGTCGTACCGAACTGCCAACATCGGCCATTTTTGATCTATAAAAATGCAGCTCATGCGGCTCAGCCTGGCCGTTTGCCCCAGGTCACGTGGCAGGGCCGGGACGAGAACCCAGGCTTGATTCCAAACGGCCCCTGTCGAGGGTTTCAGGAGGCCAGAGGGCGCGGAGAGGGCCCACTTCATGGCCATGCCCACCGAGGCCCCCTGACCCTCAGGCCTGCCCAGCTGCCACCTCTCTCGCGTGCCCTGCCCTGCAGCGTCTTGGGAAGCAGAGGTCAAGGACTGTCCCCCACCACCCCCAGTCCAGACTGGGCACACTATGGGGCTTGGTGAGGACTGGGTTGCCTGGAGCATAGTAGGTGCTCTTGAAACGGGAGTTCCGGCGACTGTCATGGGGATGGGGAAATGAAAGATTACACGTTTTATAAAGCTGAGGATGTCATAACCGTTGTTAGCATCACTGATGATGGATAGGGGGGTGGTACCATTATTAATTTGGAGTTCCTCTCTGTTCATTGCAGGCAGGGTGGGGCCTGGCACCCCGGTTCCTGCAGTGCCTGCTCAGAGCTCAGTAAACACACAGAATTGAAAACCTCATCGACCCCTTTCCAGTTTTGGGGGACTGAGTAGGAGAGGAGGGCCCTGAGGGAGGGGGAGAAGGAGGTAGTGGGGGGTAGAAGAGGTGGCTGTGTACTCACTGGAGCCCTTTGGGTCCGGCCAGGGTGGGGTGCCCTTCTGTGGGTCTGCAGAGCCGGTCCCGGCCTCGCTGGCCAGGCTGCTCTGGCTCCCCGACAGGTGGCTGGGTGGGTGGGTGAGCTCCATCTTGGGGGACTCCACGCTGCCACCTGCAAGAGACCACGTGTGAGCGTAAGTAGCTCAGTGCTGGGCCCTCGGCTGCAATGAGCTGATGGGCAGCTTCCCATATGGATCTGAGATGGGCGTCCAGGGGCCTGCGCCCAGAGCCCCTTACCCCGCAGGGCTGCCACGTTCTAGCGCGACCCAACCCCGTGGCCACTGCTGATGGGTCCACCACATACAAAGGCCACCGAGTGGGTCTGCAGGTGGTTGCCCAGAGGAACCAACACGAGAGTCGACAACCAGGAGGAATGAGGTGTGGGTGGGGGAGGTTTACATTTCAGCGAACTCAGTGGGTACTCATTGCTGCCTTTCCTAACTCAAGGATCCTCAGATATGCCTGTGGGTCCTCGCCCGGCCAAGGGAGCCGAGCTGGGCCTGGGCCATTGTACTCCGTCTCTTCCTGTCCACTAGACCCACCGGTCATAGCTGGGAGTTGGTGTGAAGGGGGGGACAAGAGCTCTGGTGGGGGGAGGTGGAGGGCGTGTAGACCCTGCCCTGGAAACCAAGGCAGGCAGTAAGCTTCCGTTACGCTTTCCTAAAATAGAATCTTTAGCCCGAGGTGCCTAAGAGATTGTCTAGTCCAGGGTTAGTTTCCAACTCTTGCGTCATCTTCACCTATTGATATCACCTATTGATACTGACCACTCGGAAAACTGCATTGAGGAGAGTTCAGGCCACATCGGACTCTGTGGGAAAGCGTATCATGATCAGCTAGTCATGCCTGCCACGGGCATAGGAGTGCAAGTACGAGCCCGTGTGCCCGGCATTCGGCATCTCTGATGGAACCCAAATGGTGGTCCTAGCAGGAATTCCTTCCACATCTGCCCTGGCAGGTCCCCAGCCTTGTCCCAGGGCGGCAGGCTGAGGCATTGCGTTCCAGTGTGGGGCACAAGAAAGCTTCCTTCTGCCCTGAGACCAGCCTCGGGCACCGTCTTCAGACACCCCCGTTCTAACCTCTGGAATGATTGTGAACAAAGCCGGTCCTTTTCCCAGGAGGGCCCCTTGTGTGTTTAACGGAGAGGAACAATGGGCCCCCAGGCCTTGTCTGACCAGCTGCAAGGCCCCAGCTACTTCTCTTTCAAACATCGGGTCACAGAGGAGAGCTCAGAGGTGTGAAATTCAGAGGGAGCTTCGGAGACCACCTGCTCCAGCCCGCTTGTGCTAACTACTAGGCAACAGAGGCCCAAGAGGCCACAGTGTGCGTTTGGGGTCCCACAGCAGAGCTGAGCTACACCAGAGAACGCTGCAGCTGACTTTCACGGTCTCATCACTCACGAGGCAAAATCTCATGGGGATGCTCACAGGGAGCTGGGGAGGAAGCCCGGGTGTGCAGGCCGAGGGTCAGGGCAGCCACTGGGGCTGCCTCCCGGCCCCCGAATCTACAGCTGAGCCTCCTTTCCGCCTTGCTCTTCAGGGGTGCCAAGACTTCGGCTCCTAGCCGTCCCGCCCGGGCCCCCTTCTCAGAACATCCTGACCCAGAGCGACCCTGCAGACACCCTGCTGGTGGGCAGAGGCCCAGGACAGCAGCAAAGCCACCCGCCCCTGGAGCTTCAGAAACCAGCATGCGCGTCCCCCACTCACCTGAGTCCCCCCTGGATCTGCCGCCTTTCGGGTCCCCGAGCCCAGGGGGCGGGAGTCTGTCCTCCAGGCTGGAGGAGCTGAGGTCCGAGTCGCTGTCGCTGTCGCTGGAAACCACTGGAAGAACAGACACCAGCGAGGAGGTCACCGCGACTGGCCACCACCAGCAGGCACGTTGGGCAGAGGGGCCAGGGCAGGCCTCCCTCCTGCCAGGACGAAGGGCACAGAACCTCGGCTGGCCATGTGTTTGGGGCACAGGAACAATGGCCTGGGGATGGGCACGGCAGGCCACTCCTTTCTGCCAGTCAAGGAGGGCTCACCCTGGGCCCAACCCTCTCCACATGTCACCCTGTCCCCGCGGTCGGAGCCAATTGTCCCCTCTGGTGAAGGCACAGCCGCCCTGAGCCTCGCCCCTGGCCATGAGGCAATGCTCGGTAGTCATGGCAATGCCAGTCCTCGCTGACCCTTACAGAACACTCCAGGCACTTGACACACGCGAACCCACTGAAGCTTCAGAACATCCCTGTCAGGCAGAAAATAGCGTTCTCCCCATTTTACAGGCAAGGAAACTGAGGCACTTGCCAAGGGCAGTAAGCGGAGGAGCCAGGATTTTAGCTCTGGCAGTCCGGCCCCACAGCCTGTGCGCCTAAGCACCCCGATTCCGCTGGAAGAACGGAACTGGGAGCCAGCCGGCCTGGGCTCTCAGCCCAGTTCACCCAGTAACTCTCGCGGGGTCTTGTGGGTGCAGGAGGGAGCCGGGCGGATGGGCTGGGCTCCCAGGAGACGGAGAGGAGGGAAGCCCTCACAGGGAACACCCCCTGCGGCAGAAATCCTCTTTTCTGGACTGAACGGGACTGTATTTGGCTGGTTCGTCACCGGTGGGAGTCGTCGGACAGGATCTGTTCATATGGTGAGCATTCTGTTGTAATTTTAAGCATAGGACTGTACATCCATTTGTCAATCTTTTGCTGTAGAGTTTGGGTGCTTCTTCGGGTCTTTCCTGTCTCGACTGCACGCGTGTTTGGCTGTGATTCCCAGGTTCAGGGTCTACACATGGGAGCGGAGCTTAGAGCCAGGGATCGCAGATGAGGGCAGAATCCTCTCCTTTCCTGTTTCCTTCTCCTGTTTGCTGCCGTCGTCCTGCCCACATCTAATCCAATCGCTATTTTAAGCAAGTGGCTTCTATCCAGACATCCCAAGGCCCTGGCTTTTATGAGACAACTGTTTGTGTGTGTGTGTGTTTTTCTGACTCTTTTCATCGATTTACATAACGTTTCATTAAATGATGTAATTATAACAAGTACAAATGTACAGGAAAGGTTTGGGATTACAGGGCAGCAGCTCTCAGAGGCGACTAACTCAGCGGATGGGGTAAGAGTGATCCAGGGAACGCAAAATGCTGGTGAGGGGGGAGGTTAGGAGGGGTTGAGCTCCTTCTGCCAGGCACTGAGCTAGGTACCTAGCGAGCATTATCTCAGTCAACCTGCCAAACAGCCCTGTGCCATAGGGACCCATTTGGTGGGAGATGAGATTGGAAACAAAATTGATGTACGCCAAGGATAGCTAAGCGGTTTCATCAGACCGGCCGGGCCCCTTCGGGAGCGCTGCAGAGGAGAAGCCTGGGGCTGCATGAACCCCCAGCAGGAAGGAGAGGAGAGCCCGCAGGGAGATCCACGGTGGGCAAGGAAGGTCCACAGGACCTGTGCCGCGTAGCTGCCACCTGGGTCTAGGGCAGTGGTTCTCAACCTTCCTAATGCTGCGACCCTTTAATACAGTTCCTCATGTTGTGGTGACCCCCCAACCATAAAATTATTTTCGTTGCTACTTCATAACTGTAATTTTGCTACTGTTATGAATTGTAATGTAACTATCTGATGTGCTATATGTGTTTTCCCATGGTCTTAGGCGACCCCTGTGAAAGGGTCATTCGACCCCCCAAAGGGGTCGCGACCCACAGGTTGAGAACCACTGATCTAGAGCTTTCTGGAAAGCCTTCATGCCTTCAGCCTGTGCCACCTGCCAGCTAACGGAGGCACAGGTCACACACCAAGCAACCAGAGAGTTGGAGCTGACTGACGATTTCAGCCCTAAGAGTCTCAACCTTGTGCTTCCATAGCAGAGGGGCTGGCACACAGTAGGTGCTTTGTGACGCTCTGATGACCAATCAGCTCTTCTTTCTCCCTTATCCCCACGTCCTGACCGTTTCACCTCCTAAATGGTCCTCAAATCAATGCTGAGCTCAAAGCCTCATCGTCTCCAGCCTGGATTCCTGTGATAACCTCCCACCTGGCCCCACTGCAGGCCCCTCCTCCCGCCCCCTGCCCCCCTGCACAGCCGGGGATGCTCCAGCTGACACACAAGTGCTAGTTACCCTCTTCAAAGGCTCCTCATAATCTACAGGCCCAAGCCCAAGCACCTGACCTTTGTCCACTTGTCCAACCTCATCCCATACAACCTGCTCTCCTACCCCAGGCTCCTCCAGCCCCACGGCTTGGAGCTCTTGCCAAACTGCCAGTTAGCCGCTTCCCTTGGCCCAGAATGCCCTGCCCATCCCCTGCGCCCAGCTGGCCGAACGCCTGTGCATTCTGCTACAACGGCACCAACCACTTTCTGCTGTACAAGTCTACGCAGGTGTTTCCCCAGCAGAACCGGGGCTCCGTGCGGGCCGGGGCCAAATGACACCCCGAAGCAGGCTGGTGTGCTTCCTCCTGGGCAGAGCCGGATCCAGGTGGGTGGGGCAAGAGTGATGCTAACCTGAGTGTCCCAGCGGGTCCTTCTCTGTCTGCTCAAGGATTCTGCCTTTTCTGCCTGTTTTCCCCCCCACCCCCCCACCTCCAATCCCCGCCCTCAAGGAAGGCATCTTGGGCTTTTGTGATGTAGACTCAAGAGGAGACAGGGACTGGGAGGGGCGGTGGTCCCTATGCCCCGCCCATAGTATTTGAGAAAAGCAAGGAGAGGCCTCTCTTACTTTGCAATTGCTTTTCAGTCCTGGACTGGGTTTCTTTGGTCGCGATTCCGCTGAGACCGGGCGTCACTGGTGCTGGTTCTGTAGGCATTTAAGGATCTTGAACTCACTCACTGACTAAACACCAACCCGTGGGTTCCCTGACCTTGAGGCCCCGGCCTCTGAGGGAAAAAGGCCTAGAGAGAAACCCTGGGCAAAGGGCTGGATTCAGATTTTTAAAGTATCTACAGGCTCCCCCCGACCGAGAGGCTTACGGACCATCTGGTCACCCTTTCTGACTCGGGGCGCGCCATCTCTTCCGCGCTAGACACGCAGGACCTTCACAAGCCCGGGGCAGGGGGACACGGGGCTCCATGGTGTTAAAATAATGCCAGGATCCTCTGGCGCTAAAGGGCAGACGCCAAAAAGCACAAAACACCAAGAACTGGAAGGAGACCACGGGAGAGGCTGTCCCAGACCCGGGTTACAGTGGCAAGCTCACGGATCTCATCGCTTCCCCTCCCTCCCCTCCTGTCCTCTGTGCACCTGGTCACGGCACTGGACTGGGAATGGGCGTGGGTTTAAATTGCAGGAAGTCTGTGCTGGGCTGCGGAGGGAGAGCAGTTTGGTTGTGAGGGGTGTGTCCTGTCCACAGCACCAGCCCCGGCGGTGGGCTCGGGTACACAAGGCTTCGAAAAAATAAGACCTCCTCAAGTTACAGTCAGTCGGCTTGTTCTTTGTCTCCTTTTACGGACCCCAAAGGGCTGCGGGCATGGAAGGGGCGGACGGAGGGCCCCGGATGACAATGAGTTCACAAAGGCATCATAGAGCAGAGAAGCAGCCAGCTGACGAGACCCATTCCCTTCGGATGCACCCCCCTTGGCTCACGCATCCTTGCTCATTGTCTGGGATTTCGAGCCGAGCCAGGCTCAGCGTGGAGGCCTTTGTGAAACCCCAACCTTGGCTCATTTGCCATTCGATGGCCGTCACTACCATTCTCCCCGCACAGCAGCTGCTATCGTAAATCTTCCAGGTCTATTAACAAAGCGTTTGGGCTCATAAATCTTTTGGCCCTTGCTCTTCCATCCTCAACAAAACACTCTGTGTGTCTGCAGGCTGATCCCCCTCCCTCTCCAGTTCCCCAAAGGTTGAGTCTGGGATGGCTGGGTGATGAATGCTTGTATTCTGCCCACGCCTGACTTTTCAGACTGGAGACGGGAAAGCACCAGGAAGACAGCCCCGAGAGCTTCCCCAGGAGGCATCGCCAAATGGATTCCCCTGGGCTTTGCCATGAGGCAGGTAGGACGGAGGGCCTTCCCCTCCGGCGAAGGCTGAGCCCCTGGACCACTTGCTGGGGGACCTGACACCCCCGAGATTTTCCCATCATGCCTTGGAAGGGCTGTCTGCTGCTGAGGATGAAAACCAGCACCAGCCGTGCCCACTTCTCTGGGGATAGGCCAGCTTCCCCCTCCCCCACCCCCACTCTTGGATGGATTTGCAATTTGACTATCGCCATGGAAACTCAGAGTTTTGGCACATGAAGGTGGGGGTGGGGGGGAGGGAAGTCCTCCTTTTTGGAAAGTCTTTCCAGACTGCCTGAAAAGACAGGTGTGGCAGCTGCAGTGGGTCCTGTGGAGACGCCTTGCCTGGGCCGGTCCAGGGGACTGGCAGGATCCTGGCTCTGCCTCCCTTGGGATTTGCAGATCTGCTCCCTGGCTCTGCTCTGCCACCACCCCTGTGACCCTGGGCACCTCACAGTGTGCCATCACACACACAAAGAGGCCAACCCGGACAGCGACCCTGGGTCTGAATTCTAGGATTCCTCTTCGGGTCAGTTTTGTTCATCAGTAGAGAGACCCCAAAGCCCCTCTCGGGGTGAGAGTGGGGGAGACGCGACGTCTGGGCCACACGACACCCGCCTGCCTGGCACAAGGACAGCCGGCAGCCTGTGAGCTCGGGAGGCACTTGCGAGCTGCTCGGCTCGGAGGCTCCCAGAGCCCCAGAAATTATGGGAATTAGAGAGGAAGAGAGATATTTTCAGCAAACATTCTGCCAAGGCAAAGCAGATGGTGGAAAATTTTGCATACTAAAAACAACACTTTTTTTTTATTGTATAGGAAAGATAATAAGGCCCCGGGGAATGCACAGACACCCCCAATTAGCCATCCCCCCTCCCCCTCAGGCTGACATGGCTGCAGAGAAGGTCCCAGAGCTGTCTCCACAGAGACCAGGGAAGGCCGGGCCTGCAGCCTGAATCCTCCCCAGATGCCTGGCAAGTCTGGGGCTCCATTTGGTGGCAGCAAAAGGGAAGTGTGGGGTGGTGAAGAGGCACCGGCTCTGAGTCAGCCCCAAGTTATGTCCTGGCTCTGCTACTTCCCGGCTGGGTAATTTGGGGCCAGTTTCCTCACCTTTCTGTGGGCAGCAGGTCCATCATGAAACGGGGGAGGATGGGTTCCTTTCTGTGCTGTGAGCATTAAAAGAGGGCACACGGGCACCATCTGGCACATAGTAGGTGCTTGCTAAACGGGAGCTATTTTACCTGAGGGTCATCCTGAGCTCATAATCCGCGCCTCCCCATGCACGACTTGCCTCTGGGGTCACTGTGTCCGGAGCCCAGGCCAACCTCACAGGGTGGACTCACTTTTTCCAGGGGAGCTTATCTCCCCAAGTTGTGCCTTGCAGGACGCTGAGGGCACCAGATGCCTTCAAAGGCCATTTGGAGGCCAAGCTGGGACTTGAACCCAGGCCTCCCTCTCTAGCTGGAACCCTGCTCTTTCCTCCGCAGCTAGTATGCAGGGCACCCGCGGTCCAGCCGCACCAAACGGCCCTGCTCCCTCCAGAGTCCTCCCCTCCAGGCAGGCCGGCTCATTCTCTGTCCCCCCTACATGCCCTTTGCCCAGGGTTTCTCTCTGGGCCTTTTCCCCCGTCAGAGGCAGGGGCCTCAACATCGAAGGTTCAATTCTGGCTCTGCCCCAGACGCTCCTGGGCAAATACTTTCATCTCTTTGAACCTCAATCGTCTCACCTGAAAAATGGAGACAATAATAACTACCAATAAAGTAAGAGCAAGGAGGACAGAGGGCAATGCATCTTTAAAAAGCTACACCAGCCTATAATTTTATATATATTTTAATCCTCACCCGAGGATATGATTTTACTGATTTTAGAGAGAGAGGAAGGGAGAGAGAGAAACATGGATAGGTTGCCTCCCATATGTGCCCCGACCGGGGATCGAACCTACAACTTAGCTATGTGCCCCGATCAGGAATCCAACCTGCAACCTTTGTGGTGTATGGGATGACGCGCCCACGAACTGAGCCACCCGCTCAGGGGAAGCCTGTAAGTATTTTAAAAATCTGAATCCAATTCACCCTCCAGGGACCCGTCCGAATTGTGCCTCGACTGAAAAGTCTCTCCAGCCCCGGGGAGTAACGGGGGAGACGGCCTCATCTGCGCTCCCAAGGACACCACCTGGCATTGAACTTCTTTTCCTACAAGTGCCTGCCTCGACTTCCCCACCTGTTCCTGGAACTACTCGAGGGTGCGGCCACACCTTAAGGCGCATCTGGCTCCTTCCGCAGCCCCCGGCGCTGGGCCCAGGACCATCAGGCACTCAGTGCCAACTCGCTGACCGCTCTCTGAAGAACCCTCCCCAGGAAGGGATGGCCCTGCGCAGACAGGAGGACCGGATGGCGGTCAGCGCGGTGGTAGCGAGCCAGCTCGGTCTCCAGAAGGGCTGGCCTGTCCCCCAAGCAGGCGCCTCCGCCAGCCTCCCTCTGAAGGACACGCCAATGGGACGAGCAGGCAGCTCATGGCCTCAGCCTGAGCCAGGGACGGCTCAGGGGGGAGGGGCTGTCTGAGGCCAGTTGCCATGGACACGGGATGAGTGGGCCCTGGGGGGCGGGGGGAGCACTGTGCACAGAGCGCCTGTTCTGCTTCTAAACCCAAGCTGAGGCCCTGCCAGAGGAGCAGGCTCTTCCTTTGTTCTGGAAACTTCCTCAGGGCCCTGGAGACGGAGTCAGGGCCTGGACTAGGAGAAAGGTGGCCCCAAAGCCAGGGATCCTGTCCCTGTTGGGATGGGCCCGGTGATGGCCAGAGAGGCTGAGGCCTCCCTCCCTGCCTGACCACCCTGAGCCTCACTGCTTTCTCTGTGAGGTGGGGAGGGTCACGGGGAACCCTCCTTTCTTGGTCCCCCGCCCAGGCGGTCAGAGGGGACAGCTGCAGGGTCAGCCCGGCCCAGGCTGGGAATTAAGAGCTGGAGAGTGGAGGGTTTTCTGTGCTTGTTTATCCAGTCACCATTGATTTTAATTACCTCCCTCCTTTGGGCTCCCAGACAGGAGGCACCGGATAATGAAGACAAATCCTCAGATCAATAGAGATGTGGTCGCCAGCACCAGAATCCCGTGGTCCTGTCCTTGCTTGAGGTGCTCCAGGCAGAACCAGAGATGGATGGACGCGAGATAAGAATAGCTCCTTTCAGAGAGAACATCGTACTCTGAAGGAGAGCCAGCGAGGGTTCAGGGAGGGGCGGAGTCAGGGAGGGCTTCCTGGAAGAGGTGGGATTTAAGGATGAGCTTGATTTATAGGTAGAAATGCTGGCGCCGGTGTGGGCCCGGCATCTCTGACGGAGAACGGGAAAAGCAAAAGCCAGAGGTGGGCTTCGCTGGGGCCAGGACAGCCCTGCTGGCTCGAGAGAAAGGCTCTAGGCTAAGGCACATCAGGGATGAAGGGCTGGTCTGGGTTAGGTGTGCTCTGCCCTGTTTCTCTCTGGCAGATTACTGCTTCCGACTTAGGCAGAGATGAAAGCCAGCAAGTGCAGACCTCCTGTCGACCCCTTTGCTGGGATGCACACTGTGTCTTCGTTACTTCCTCTACTTCAGCTCTCTCTCTCCTTCTTTCTGTCCCCGTGTCTTTGTCTTTTCGTTTGTCTCTTTGCGCTTCTCTTGCCAATGTTTCTTTTTTCTTTTCTTTTCTTTTTTTAAAGCTGCCTTTGCATCTCTTGTCTTATTTTCCCTCTGGTGTGTCTGGGTGTCTCCATGAGTTCTGAAACATGGACCGGTTGTCTCTGGGTTCCTCTTTCTCTGTTTCTGTCAGTTTCTCTCCCTCTGCAGCCTCATCTCTCTGCCTCTGTCTGTGTGTCTGTCTTGCTCCCCCCGGGCCTCTCAGTCATATGCCTTCAAGCTCTGGCTTTCTTGGCCTCTGGGTTTGTCCCTCAGGTTCCCTCCTGGGGTGGAATGCCAGCCCCTGCCCAGGCCTGTGGGTGTGGGAATGGGCAGCCGGGGGCTTGCCTGGACCCAGGGGCCACCAAGGCAGAGGAGGCCTGGCCCCTCCCTCCTGTCGGGAGGTCAGCGGGCACAGAGACCCTCCCAGCCTCTGCTGCGGCTCCTGGACAGTGGTGGGAGATCAGCTTGGCCCCATCGGAGCGCCTGCGCCCTGTGATTGACAGGAGGCCCCGGAGGCAGTGGCTGAGCTGAGTGGGGCGAGCACCGCTATCTCCTAAGGCTTTATTGGAGTCAGACAGACAGGGCAGGCGGGTCCAGGTTTATTCACTTCACCCAGGTCTCCAAAGGCTGAGAATGCAGAGTGGGCGGAATTAAGTTGTAGGTTCACTTGGTGAGACAGGGGAGCAGCTGGGGAGGGTGTGCCCTACTGCCCAAGGCGCAGCCCCGCACCGGCCTGGCACGCCGGAGCTGAACGAAGCCAGAGGCCGACTGGGGAGGGGGTGGGGGGCGCTGGGCCCTGCCTTCCTATTTCCGCTCAGACCAGGGGCAAGGCGCCCCCAGACCTCACTTTGCAGCTGGAATCAACCCATCGGCCGAGGCTGTCATCAGGTTTGGACAAATTCCAAGTGACAGCCATGCCCCTGACCTCTGGTGTGGCTAATGAGGGCCTTCTGCTGCTCTTGGGAAACGAATTCCCACGCAGCCCAGACAGGCAGGAGGGCTGCTGGGGGCGGGCGGGGCGAAGGCAGCTTCCTAAAGCCCAGTGGTCTGGGGTGGCCCCGCTCCTCACTCCCACCAGCACTGGGCTGGTACTTGGCTTCCCCACGGGCTCCGGAGGCCACGACAATGGCCTGCATGGGCTTCTCCTAAACATGGCCACACAGGAGGGGCCCGGCCTCCCCGGGGGTGTCGGGGAAGGGCCGAGTTCCGGAATGCTGCAGGTTTCTCTCTGTCCACGCCAAGATTACAGTGTAAGTTGTTTGACCTCTTCATGCCTTAGTTTCCCCATTTGTAAAATGGGACAAGAGCCTGCCCCCTCCCACAGGTTTTCAGGGGATTGCCTGAAATAGATGCACCGCGCCAGCACAGCCTTCACCTAGCCACCATGCGATCCACGGCAGCTGCTTTATTTGCAGTTTTGATTTATTATTATTATTATTATTTTGTTGTTAATCCTCACCTGAGGATATTTTTCAATTGATTTTTTCCCCCTTCTTTTAGAAAGAGACTGGAAGGGATGGGGGGAGACACACAGAGAGAAACATCAATGGGAGAGGGACACATCGATTGGTTGCCTTCTGTACATACCCCAACCAGGGCTGGGGATCGAGTCTGTAACTGAGGTGCGAGGTACTACGCGCCCTTGGCCGGAATCGAACCCGCTACCGTTCAGTCCGTGGGCCGACGCTCTATCCACTGAGCCAGACTGGCGAGGGCTAACGTTGCCATTTTGATTTGGCCGCTCAGCACTGGGGCAAACGGTACCCAGGCCTCAGCTGGGCCTGGCAGAAGGCAGCTCCACGGGCAGACCAAGGACTGAGAAGACCAAGGTCAGGGTTTACCCCAGCGGGGCCCACAGTGGGCTGGGCATCCCATGCCCTCCTCCTGCCCCTGGTGGGCTGGGTGGCATTCAGTTCCCCACACGACTGGCGGAGCCACGGAGAAAGCTGACCATGACCTTTTGTTCATTTCTTTCCTGGACCCAAGCGGCAGACCTACACCCGAGGGTCAGTGGTCTCAGGCGCCATGCCAGGCGGGTCCGGTCTGGACACACAGCACCGTCCCCAGAGGCTCCGAGACACTCTCCCTCCCTCCCTCCCCCCTCTAACGGTCCTTTCGGGCTAATGTGTCTCCATGTGGGTATTTGGTGGTTTCTATGATCTTTATATGTAAAAAAATATATACTAGTATATAAATCTCAGGTGCTTCCACTCCCCAGGATTCTAGAACCCACACAGGCAGTAAAACAGGAGGCAGGGAAGGTGATAATGAGGCACAGGAGCTGATCCCGGGGATAGGACTTGAAAAGAAGCATCGGTGACTTCACAGGCACTTAGCAGACACTTAGCACAGGCACAGTGTGGCGGGAGGGGCGGGTGAGAGAGGGGGAGGAGGGGTGTTGGGCGGATTTGATAGGGTTTCACTGGCAGCTCAGCACGTGCATGTGTGAGAGAGGAGGGCGGGCCCGGTGTGAAATGGGGCTGCTCTTTGCAGCAGAGGCAGCCTCAGTGCATGATCTGGGAGCAGCTTTGCCACCTGCCAGGAATTCCTCTAGAGTTTCCTCCCGTGGCTTTGGCACGGTGAGATACGAGAGCTGCAAGACAACAGATGCTGTCCCAGCCCCACAGCCCCATCCTACTCATGGGTAAACCAAGGTCCAGAGAGGAGGGACCTCAAAACACTGAAGTTTTCCTGCCCGGATGTCCCCCGTTAAAACACATCAGCTCCGCAAGGCCTGACGCTGAAGCGCTTATGGTGATGGCGCGGAAGGCGTAGAGCCACCATGGGCAGGATGTGTGGCTCAGGGTCGGCAGTCGGGACAGAGATGTGATGGTCAGCCCTGCCTCCCACTGGTCCTAGGGGGTGGTCAGGGGGTGAAGTGGGCCGGATGTGAGAACCCTTCACTGCCACAGAGCAGCGGGCCTGCTTTTCTTGCAGCAAGTGACCCTGCGGGTCTAACTTCTATTCTCTCTCTTTTCCTAGGGATGTGGAAACACGAACTATTTTGCTTTTTTCTTAGTAACCCCGCAAGGGTGATTATCCAGAGTCAGAAAGTATAGGGAGGGGCGGGGACTGTGGCAGCCAGAGACCGAAGGCCCTGTGTGAAATGGGGGAGCTTCGACTAAGCCTGTCCAGTTTCTCCAGGGAGGGGCCGTTCTGGCAGGCCTTCTGACTTCCAAAAAGCAGCCAGAAATACTCCATATTCTTTTATTTTTTTAAATTAATAAAACCCCATTTTTATTGATTTCAGAGAGGAAGAGAGAGAGAGAAACATCAATGATGAGAGAGAATCATTGATCAGCTGCCTCCTGCACGCCCCACACTGGGGATTGAGCCCGAAACCCAGGCATGTGGCCTTGACCAGAATCGAACCGTGACCTCCTGGTTCATAGGTTGATGCTCAACCACTGAGCCACGCCGGCTGGGCTACTCCATATTCTTTCAAAGGGGAATTCTCCACATTTAAAAAAGTTGTCAATGAATTTAAAGCAACGAGCCAGATCGAATCACTGCTCCACCGGTTTTCGACCTGTCACAGCGGCAACGGTCCAACCCTCCCGGCAGGTGGAATCCCACCTCCCAGCCTGGAAGCCCTCCTGCTCCGCTCTGTCTCCTCCTCCAAGCCTCGGCCAGCCTGCCCCCCCGCACACATACACACTCCCTGCTGCTCCTAAGGCTGCAGGAAGTTCATGCCTCATGTCCAGGCGGACGTGACAGAAATGGCAAGTCCAGAGCCTGCTGGGGAGATACTGGGGCTGAGTGGGGGGCGGGCAGCTGAGTGCTCTGAGGAGCTTCGGAAATGCTAACTTCTCAGGAACGGAGAAAGGAGGAAAGTGGCATAGCAACAGCTGGCTCTGGGCAGTGAGCAATCCTGAAAATAAAACATTTTACAATCCACAACTGTGGCTCATTAAGAATGAATGGATCTACTGGTATAAATAGCACGCTGCGTTAAGAAGTCAGGAAACAGCATATGCGTGCGATGGAAAAAACGGCTGCCACGGAACTGCTCATTAGCCCTGTCGGCTGCAGCTCTGTGCGACGGAGTCAGAGGCCCTGGGTTCAAGGCTTTCGCGGGCCATGTGGCTTTCTCCATCTTGGGCCAGAGGCTGTATCTCCATCCCCCAAGCCCTGGTTGCAATATGGGGGTCTGACTCTGGACACACACTCATAAGCCCATAGCGAGTTTCTCAACCCACTATATCCGGCCTCTGCTTGAACGCTCCCAGTGACAGGGAGCTCACTACCCTGTCAGCCACAAAGCACCCAATTCTGTGGCTGCCTGGCTATCGAGCACACCGAGTTTCCCCTGCTCGGTCCCCGCTCTGCTTTTGGGGGAAGCAGCCCTCACTGGCCACACCATCTATTATGTCTGACAGGATACAGGCTGGATGCAGGAAAAGGCAGCATAAGCAGAAATGAGCCAGGCCAACCTGCTCCCCTCCCCAGCGGGGTC